CTTCCCTCTAGTCTTTCACTGCTAAATTAGGGACGGTTAGCGCAGATAGCCCTCGTGTAGCTTTTCGCGAAATTCAAACCAAACGATCCTAATTAATTTCTGTATTTATTGCTTATTTGTTGGTTCCAGTATTAATTATAAATACCACAACTCACGAAATTGAGCTAGAATGAAAAAAAATGTTCTTTATTTTACTGATATAATATTCACTACTTTTCTAATTGCAAATATATTTTTTGACTTGTAGACAGTGGCGTAACTACAAAAGGTGGGCCTCCCCGCATAAAAAGTAATTAGTCTCTCTACATTTATTCCCCTTGTCGGTAATTATTTTTGTCAGGCCCTTCGAACTCCTTTTTTGCTCGCCACGCTCCCCGCAATTAAAGTGGCTGCGAGAGCATACTTACGCCACTGCTTGTAGAGGTAAACCTCTAACTCACATAATTTTGTTTAAGTCGAAAAAGTATAATTTTGGTTACAGTGTTCTTTGACGATTCTTATTCTGCTCTACTGTTTCACAGTCATGTCATAATAAATGCTAACACTAGAAAAGTCAATAAAATAATCACTACTTTCAGCTTGAATATGATATCCCCCCCCAGCGGCACGTCTGCGGACTTACAACGCTAGAATCTGGGTTTCGATACCCGTGGTGGGCAGAGCACAGGTCGCACATTGTGTAGCTTTGTGCTTAATTACAAAGACACAAGCAAAATAAAGATAATATAGTATATCATAATCCGAAACAAACAATTGTATAACTACGTATAAAATATTATCTTAAATACCACCAGCCTTCGATTTGTCGTAGGACTATGGAACATTAACATAAATGTTTGGCATAGTAGGATTTATCTTCAGCTTAGACAGCTTTATTTTCTAACAGCTTAGTTGGCCTTTGAAATGAGTTGATTTGGTGGATGCAGTTAATTTAAGGGAAGGCTTGATAAATATTTGAACGATAAGGGCTGGCTATGAATTTTAAATATTTATTTTAAAGTTTAATTTAGTGGATGGGACATCCTAGATAGATCAACAGGCCATTTTTGTCCCTAATTTATATGTAACTTGCAATGTAATATAATAATTGTTTTTGAAGTGTACAGAGTCTTCTTTTCTGTATATTCGAACACTGATCAAAGTCATTAACTACATATATCAGGACAACTTTTTAAGCTCTTTAATATAACTTTAACATAACAGCAAATGTACAACGTTTCGACGAGGTACCTGATGATGGCAAAACCTTGTCGAAACGTTGCACATTTGCTGTTATGTTAAACTTATATTAAAGTTTTTCTTCATTACCCATTCAAGCCGTCTCCAGCTATTATTAGTCTCAAAGTGGGTTCCTCGTCACCGAATTTTTGAGCTCTTTGTTTATTATTTTTAACATCCTTGAAACAAAAGATACACATTTAAAATAAGTTTAACGAAACTATTGGTTGATTATATAAAGAATCATTAGCGTCTTTTTCATCGTTTCATTTAGCTGTGATTTTTTTAAAACTCCAGCTATGATGTTATCTATTAATAAATATGTTTTGAACAACTGTTTCATATCTCATCAAAAGTAAAGGGCGTGGGTTGTTCGATTATTATCCAATGTCAACAGGGGGCGATAAAGTCAACATCACTTGTAGCAATTTCAGCTTTTACTTAAACATCTGATAGGTTTTTCCCGCGTAAATTAAGTGTGTTTTACTTAGGTATTTAAACTGAACTACTTTTAGACGAAATGCTTCGTTACTGGTTAATTAGCGCAAATAATGTATTCAAGGTAGGGTACCAATTTAAAAAATAATGAATATTCTCAATTTTTGTATTTGTTTGCCTAAATAAGTGAGGTTACTTTAAGATCTATTTGTTTTTAGGGGACTAATTTGTTGAAAGAGTGTGTGTTACGGTTAATTTCCCGCCACTCGTATAGGTAGTGTCTATTAGCATCGAAAGGTATATCGAAGCCTCTGTTCTATTAAAAGTAATGATTTAGTTCTAAATTAATTGAAGAAAAATAATTAAAATGGAGAACGCTGGAGAAAATGGGACGGAAATAAGATCAAGATTTCAGGATCTTTGTGCTGATTTAAACATGGACAAAAGTGCTACTGATGAGGCATGGAATTCATTTCAGCGGATCAGTGCAAACTATACCCTAGAGGTAAGAATAACTTCAGTACGACGTCGTTACTTAGTTGAATTAACTTATTATTATTAAGCCTAAGGAAGATTCAAGCGAATTTTTAATATTACTTAATATTAGTAAAAACTAACGTACACCATTACTGTTGAGTTGCTAGAATTGACTTTAAATTGTTAGTTGTTAGAATGGTGTTAACCCTTTTTTGTAAATTTTGAGTAATTGTTTTCTTAAGCAATGTGTTAAGTTTAACTTGTTATTTGTATTAGTTGTAAACAAAATTAGTTCATAGTTGTAGTTGTACTTGCAGAGAAAAGTTTAGCATGGGAAATGAGTATAGAAGTATTTCTAAGGATAGGCTTAATTGTTATTATTGTAATGCTAGAACTATAACTTATAAGTAATAAAATAGATGATTTTAGAGCGCTGGAAGAATGAAGGATTTTGATTTAATAGGAATAAGTGAAACATGGTTAAATTTAGACGATTTTGATGACAGAAGTTTCTTTTAAATTCAGTTATAGGTTATTTAAGTAAAGAGAGGGGAGGAGTGGCTTTATGTGTAAAATGTTACTTATGTCCTGTTGAAGTTGAGGATATTGGAGGAAATAGCAAGGAGATTGAATCAATTTGGGCTTCTTTAGTGGATATAAAGGAAAAGGCATTTAGGGGAATTTGTTACAGATCACCTGATGATACTGATGAAATTAATGAAAAATTTTATACTGAGATTAAGATTTCATCTTAATGAGAACATGATTATAGGGTGGTTTTAATTTTAGCCATGTAGAAATGTTAAAAGTCAAATCATGAGGCAGAAACGTTTTTGGATACTCTTCAAGATGGATTTTTTACCAATTGGTCAAGGAACCTACTAGAAACAATGCTATTTTAGATTTATTGTTAGCTTTTAATGGAGAAATGTTTGAGAGGGTGGAAACTGGGGAACATCTGGATGCAAGATATTATTGCTGTATTAGGTGTGATGTTTTGCTGTATATGGAGATCAGGAATAATAATGTTTTGGTTACAAATATCAAAAAAGCAAATTTTGAAGGGATGTGAATTGGGTAGCTGAGTTATTTGGAGACACAGATCAAATATGGAAAATTTTTAAAGATAAAATTTTAAATATTATAGAGAAACATATTTCTTATAGAAAGAAAAGGGTGGCTGCAAGTAAAAAAAAAAAACATGTTGGCTTATAAAGAGTATAAGAGATAACATTTAATTTAAGAAATGTAAAATGACTGGTTTAATAGGAGATTTAGAAGAGTATACAATATGAATAAAGTTGGTTAAACAAGAACCTAGGACATTGAAAAGGATGTGTAAAAAAGGTTTGCTGAAAATTAACAAAGGATTTCTAAATTAAATACATTAAGTGTAAACAAAATGTTAGGATGAAGGTAGGACCATTGAGGGATGATATTAGAAGGCTCGTATCATATAATTATGAGATGGCTGGGTTATTAAATTTTGTTTTTTCAAATTTTACTAACAAAGATTTAAGCAATATTCCTCATCTTGAACATTTGATAGATGGAAATAAGATGATCACATTAATTCTGAGCTTGTTAAGAAAACATCAGGACAATAAAACTCCTAGGCCAGTTAATATTTACCAAATGATTTTTAAGAAGGTTAAGTAATGGATATGTGAGCCAGTTGCTACTATTATTATTTTTTTTGTGAGTCCTTGAGTAGTAGGCAGGTGCCAGAGGATTATAAGTTGGTCAGTGTTACTTTTCTTTTCAAGGGAGGTGATAAAAATTGTTCCAGTAATTATAGGCCTATTAATCTTGCATCAGTTGTGGGAAAAGTGTAGGATGCTTTGCAAAGTAATTTAGCTCTTTCGCAACAGGATCACTATAATGTATACACGTTTGCACATGTTAAGTATTTATACTATAAATTTTAGTTCAATAAGTGCATCTTCACAAAATGTGGTATACTTTTAGTAAACATTACAAATCTTTTGTACACAAAAAATCTAATCGTTTAATAAAGTATTTTTACTGAAGATTTGTTTGTGAATGTATATCGAGTATGTTTCGTTACTAGTCCGAGTGTCAGAAATCATGTAAAGTACAACTTGTTCCTTTCTCTTGGTTATAAACAGATCCTTAAGTAGGTGGAATTAAACAAGATGATTGGAAAGAATGGAGTAGGAGGAAGTGCCACTCTAGTTGATTTGCTAGATGCATTGATTTCTCAGCAAATCAAATTTATATTTTAGCTTGCCAGTATCTAAAATTTGTTTTTATGTCATTATCCACTTGTACATGAATATAGTTGGCGTAAAAAATATAAACTGAGCAACAAGACATGAAGAGATACTATGTGACATACACAAATCGATATTTAGCTTTATTTTATTTATATTTTCTTTTGAATTATGAAATTAAAACATAATATTAAAAGTGGAAATATAAGCAACATTTTGATGCCAATTTCACTGATATATAGTAATAATAAAGATACTTTATAAAGTTTTGAAAATAAATTGATGAAAGGGGTGATGAAAGATTCGAAGTTAAAAACACTAATTCTGATGTAATGGTTTTATGCATAGATTAACTGGGGAAACTAAGTCATGGCCATGGGTAATACTGGTCTTTTAAGTTGGAGAAACTTTTGAGGAAACTTCTTTATGGAAGAAGGTCATTGCTAAAATTACTTCATTTTTTTATTATTAACTATTCTTTTTATTTATGAAGGTGAAGAAGATCCAAAGCTGGTTCATTAAGTTTAAGGGTAGGAAGAATTTTTATTTAAATAATTTTAATATCTAGAACATTAGGAGTAATTATTTCACAAACACATGAAGTTTTTGAGAATAGAGCCCTAGCCCAGTATCTAAATATTTTGAAGAAGACTCATTGAGGGATTTACCAATTTTTGAGAAGTCTATTGATACTGGGAAAATTCCTGATAATTGGGAAGTTGATAATGAGACTATTCTTTTTAAAAAGAAAGTTTGACTTCTGTTGTTGGCAAGTGTTAGATTGAGTTGTCAATGTCTTTTAGAAAAAACTTTGAAAGTTGGCATATAATGATTCCCCAAAAAGTTTTGAAAAAGCGTTGCTATCAATGAGCTTGTAATTTTTTAATTTTTATTTGCTCTGGCTATGAGAAAGCCTATGATGATACCTCATAATACTAATTAGTTAATAAGTTCATGAAATTTTACAGGGACAAAAAAAGGAACTTATTAACCCATCAAGTATGTCCTTTCCAACTCCCAAATATAACCATCCCTCACTACTCGTATATTCATCCAATCTTTTCTTGAACTAGTTAAATTTTCTGTCTCCACCATGCTTGAAGGCAGCTCATTCCAAAAGCCAACTACCCTGTTTGAAAAGTAATACAGTCTATATTGCAAACAACTCCTACACTGCTAAAATTTTAATTTGTGACCCTTTGTTTTCACTGCTAAACACAAAAAAGTTTTTGGAAGAATATAATACAGGCTTGTGAATTTAAACTTCATGAAACTTGTTTTGGTTTTGATAACAGATTTTCCATAATTCAGTTATGCAGATTTCAAAAATAATAATAATTTTTTTCCTGTCACATTAGGATTTTTTTACAGACTAGGAAGAAGAAAGAAACTTAGATCAAATTATTATTTCGTTTACCACAATGAATATTTTTTATTATTGTTTTCTTAACAAAAAGACAAACAAACTGAATAAGAGGTAAGAATATTGTTGATGTCAAATGAATATGCATCCTGATTTGTTTTGTGGAACCTATGTATTTTAATCTCAAAAGTATGTGTTGTGGCCTTTCTTTTATGTATTGCGTTATGACATTTTGTGAAAAATCTGTACGTTATGGAGAAAAATGGATATTGTTTTTGGATTCAGTGTACAGGAATTACTGTAGAACATGTGCAAATTTCATGACAATAAAACCATTGCAGGCCTATGTTATCAATACCTTTAATAACCTTAAACACCTCAATCATATCCCCTCTAACACTTCTCCTCTCCAGAGGAAACAAGTTTAGAGTTTTTAGTCTCTCCTCGTAGGACAATCCCACCATCCCAGGTATCATCCTAGTGGCTCTTCTCATATTTTTCAGCTACCATTCTGATCTCATTATACGGTTTCTCATTAATTTCCACATTCTGACATTGGTGGTCTATAACAAATCCCAGTTAAAAGACTTTTCCCTTTATATCCACTAACACCAACCCAAACTGACTCAACCTCAGTGCTGTTTTCTTTAATATGTTCTAACTCAACAGGATGTAATTCACTCCTCATATGTAAAGCTACTCCTCCCCCTTTTTTCTATATTTTATCTCTAGTAAATATTCTGTAGCCTGGTTCTTCAAAAAAATTTCTCATCAAAATTGTTCAAATCCAACCAAATCTCAGTGATACCTGTAATATCAAAATTCCTCAGTTTCCACAACTGCTTTGAACTCATAAATTTTATTTCTAATACTCCTAGCATTACAATAGTAACAATTAATCATAGATTTTAAAATACATTTATGTTTTATGCCTGTTTTACATGTTTTCCTGTCAGTTATATTTCCTATATTACTAATATTATAGCCCTCACTTCTGTCTAGCCCTAGTTTAAATCTACCACTACAGCCGAGTTAATAGCCCTTGCTAACATTCTAGTCTCTGCCTTGTTTAAATGTATGCCATCCATTCCAAAAATATTAACTTTCCCATTAAAATTATCCCACAAATCCAACCAGCCTATTTGCTCATCCCTACGTATTGATCTAAGTCTGTCATTCAATCCTCGTGACTTACTTAGTATCTCATCCCCACAATTTATTCTTGGCAATATCTCTGACAAAATCAAGCTGTGACCTCTTTCCTTAAATGCCCTTATCAATGTTTTATACTTATCAATAAGCTCCTCAGATCCATCTTTCCTTACATCGCTAGCCCCGACATGTACCACAAAAACTGCATTGCTACGAGCACCCTTATCTATCTCTCT